TTTGGCAATGTTAGAATCATCTGAAAATGACATAACATTGGCGTATTACGCAATTACCGTTTCCAGAATTTTTGTGGAAGAATTCGTAGTGAATAATCAAGTCTTAGTTCTGAAACCCAAGTGGAATATACCACCAAATAGCATGGGAAAAAGAAAAGTCTGCAAGTGAAATGTGCACACCACCAAATAGCCAGCTAATATACCACAACTTTTCCAGTTATGAAACCACAATCCTTGATCTTTGCTTCTACTATAAATTGAGGTGCAAGATGTGAACGAAATATGATCTGAAGAGAGAGTTGAAAGTTGAAGGGTGAATGCAACGTGGGCAATGGTGCATAAAGATGTGAGATACCTTTCCATTCCAAATTTGGCATTGCCATTTAAACATGTCACATCTCATTGGACCGTAACCTGTTGCAGAGTCTAAGATGAAGCAGCTATGTTGCCATTTAAGTGTTTGTATTCTTAAAAGTGCTTTTACACAAAAATAACATGAAATAAACGGAAGAAAATCTGACAATTAACACTTTCGTTAAAACAATTATTAAAACACAGTGGTGGATGCAGTATTATGATGTTCTGAATATCCCTCTCCTTATGTTAAAAAGGCAGGCCAGTATTTAATTCTGTTTATATTTCTATTAAATAATAATTAGTAATGATACTGAGTTATCAGTCACACTTCTATTAATTCGGGATATTTTTCAATATGATTGATTGCAATTTGAGAACATTTAACATTTTTAGGGAAACAAATATTGAAGGAGCAGTTTATTATGCACTGCTAGTTTTACAGGTTTTGTTATTGATGTGCAAGGTCATTATCAATTTTTCAATTCATTTCTTTTATATCCTTTTATTTTATTTGATTTTTTTCTTTGATCTCTTCATCTGCGTCTATAGATAAACAGTAGATTTTACATAAAAGGGACAGGATGTGTTGTGCCTACCAATGAAGGTTGAAACTAGCAGCCTGCATAAGCGGGTGTGCAAAGTAAGCTCCTAAGGTAAGTGCAGTAATTGTCAAGTATGGCAGTCGAAGAAACTCCTTGTAGAAATCTTGAGGTAACTTTTGTCTGCCATCAAGAATTGCTGCAAAAGGGACAACACTTGTTCGACTCTTAACTAATTCAAAATCCTCCCCAAATTTTGTAGCCAGTCGTCTGTCTCCATTCCAGACACCGAACAGATGGTGAGCAATTAAGCCAAATGAGGCGGCAACGGCCACAGAATTTCCAATCCAAATCGTATGAGCAAGACACCAGATAACCTGCCCAACCATCTGAAGAGCAAACGTCAAGTGCAAGAAATGCATCTGAAGTAAAAGTAAATTGGGCAAGGGTTTACATTGCGCAAGACAGAATTAAGAGGGTGTTTTCAGAAGATATCAACTAGATTAGCTTATGCAGAAAGAGAAAAAAAAATAGAAAAAAAAAGAGATGCAATACCAAAGAAAGAAGAAAGATTTGAATCAGAAAAAGTTTATTTATTGGCTCAAATTATGAAGATCACAAAAATCATGAACGTGACATAATTTAACAGTGTCAACGGTATTAGATGTATACCTGTGGATGCCTGGTTATTCTTATGATTCCAGTTTCCCATAGATGTAGTTTAGGCTTGTCAACAGCTGCTACCTCTAAAAGATTGAAAGTTGAAGGGTATAGGAAAAAGAAAGAAATGAAATTTGAAATCCACAGAAGTTGATGAAGCCCAGGAGCATCCTGGACCTGCCAGAGTTGAAGTCCATCATATCTGTGATTAATAAAATACACCTGTATCATGACAGAAAATAAGCAAAGTAATTTAGTTTGAATCAACTTCAAGTTTTCTCTTGTTACAAAAATATGCTATAAATCTAAATTAAATAAAAAGAGATGGACATCAGTTATTAGGGGATACAGAGCTGTAACTCACAATAGTACTGACAGCCAAGGGTAGCGATAACCCTGCAAAGAGTACACGGAAAGTTCTTTCTCCAATGAGTTTCTCGCCAGTGTTCCTGAAGCTAGCCAAGCCACTGTGGACACCAGCAAATATGAGAATCAGTATTAGCATTACCACCTGCAGAATACCATGAAAAGAGTTAGTAACCAACCAAGCACTATTGCAGCCTTCAAATGTGTTAACAGATACTATTACATCTTTGAAGTGAGTTAGTTGAATGATACAGACAACTAGACAACCTGTACAACTAAAAGAAAAACAAAGATCTGCATATGAATTGTGGTGATAAGAGGGTGTGTGGCTACAAAATAAGCACCTTCATAATGATCTCAAGCCATTATGTAAAAAACTGGACTTAGCTCTTTACGGTATACATGGTCGTAGTTCCACACACCTCTCAGTTCTGCAGGCTCCTAGAGAAAAGGTTGATGGTACTAAGTTGTTTCCCTTTGGACATGATTAGTCTAGTGATACTGTCAAGTTTGTACTGCAAACTATTTTCACATGTAGAATGAACAGATTATGGGGGAAGTTCATCCCCTCCAACTGACACACTTTACTTTTACTTCTTTTTTCCCAGGCAAGTTGGCGTACTTTTCAACAAACACCTTTCCACTTTTTCTTAAGGATAAACAAAAATTACCAGTGGGTGAAGAGTAAGAGCCAGACTGTATAAACTTAACAAACACTTGTAGGAGAACAAAATAAAATGAAATAAATTTCTGCGACAAGTCAAAATCAATATACCTAGACTTGGGAACAAGGTCAAAGAAGGAACTTCAGAAAAAACTTGAGGAGCACAACTTAATTATAAATTATAGGGAAGTTCGATTCGTTTTCTTCTTTGATTCATTTTACTTTCTTCTCCTCAAAGTGCTTGTCAAGGAGATTTATTCAAACTGGCTCAACGACAAGGGGAAAGATCTACCAAATTCAATCCAATTCCACGACAAGCTATTCATTTGAGCCATGTGTGCACTCCACTCTCAACAATTCAAAGAGAAAAAAAAAACATGGGACTTTGGAGCTTGTTCAGACCCCTTTGAGTGCGGAAAGAGTCGGTCATATACATTAACATCACTTTTATAATTGAAAATGAAAAGTCAACCCACCCTTCCTTTTCATTGATTCTAAACGCATCCATTCGCGCAAACACACCCAAATTTCAAAGAAAACAACAAATTATCCGTCTTTATTTCTAAACACACCAGCGACTGGTAAGTGAGCTACCTCGGCTGTAGGAACAGAACAGAACACAGAATACAAAACAGTGGAAATTGTTGGAAAAAATTAAACGACCGTAACCTCATGAGAATCGGAAAGCGTTGAAACGGCGTCAATGAAAGCTTTGCCGTAGCCAGTTGAATTGTCAATCCATGCGACGTTGAGAACATAGAGAACCACTCCCAGAATGGCCGAGAAATAAATCCACGAAGATATTTTCTGTTCGCCCAATTGAAACACAGCAGAGTCCTCCCCAACGAGCCCTAACTCCGTCTCGTTCTCGCTCTCGCTCTGTTTGATTGAAGTGCGGAGAACGAAGTGGCGACCATAAATCGGCGATTTTGAACGGGAAAGAAGCAAATAGGAATAGCACTGAGAGTTAAAATTTAGGTTTGTTTTGGCGATTGAATTGGAAGAAGAGAGAGGGAAAAAAGATGGACGACGCTGGGCATACTTGGAAAACAGAGAGACTGAAGTAGCCACCACAACAGAGTTTGCCATCTTACTTCTCTTCTTTTCCCCTCTGTTTTCGGAACACCACTTCGATTTCACTCACAGAGATAAATAAGCAAACAAATATAATTCATACTCAATTTAAGTATTTCCACTGTCAAATTTAAAAATATGTCATATTTGTACAATATTAGGTGTCTGCATGTGTTTTTTTTTTTCAATTATTATTGAGATCAACTTAATATCTTAATATCTAAAACAAACAATATCTCAATAATAATTTATCTTAATGAAAAAATTAAACGAATAATATTAAGTTGATAAACTTGTTAAACGTTACACATCATGCTATCATAACTTCTTTTTCTTAATTAATAATTTACTTTAAGATCTTTAATTCTAGTGAATAATAAACTTAATACAGTACCTTATATTAAATGAATATTAACACAGTCTCAAAATCTGATTAATCTCTTATTTTGAAATTATTTTAATTTTGACATAAGATATACCTCTATATTTTGATATATGATATTTTTGAGTCGCTGTAATTAAAGGCTCAAAGTCCTATATGACCAAAGTTTATAAAATTCCTCAAATCAGAGCGACAGCTTACCTCGGACAAAATAAATGTTGTCACGAAATGTAAATGATTGAATGATAAAAATGGATCAAGTTTCTATGCAATCTGATCTCCACCATCAGCGGTTTTTATCTCAACTGCTTTTGGTGACTACTATAACATTCCCGGGCCCACATCGGCATGTGTCCCTTTAAATCATTCTGTCATTCATTCATTATATAAGTGTAAGGACCATGCTCATACATTTCAAATTCACAATCCGTTACTCTCAATTCTGTTGCCCATTCCCTAGTTTAGCAACAAAAGTTGTAAATTTGCCACTCCTTCCTCTCAAAAAGGGTTTGCTTTCGGTGTCTCTTACCTTGAAAATGTCTGCTGCTGTGTCTTCCACAACTTCTCGTTTTGTGGAAGAGCTCAAAAACAAACCAACCGACAACGACAACAGCAGCAACGTTGTTGGTGGCGAACCAGAGCAGCCCCCGTACAGTGATAGTGCCAACTCTGATGTTGCAGAAGAGACTGAGCCAGAGGAAGATGATGATGATTCCAAGTTGGAATCTGACAGAGAACTGGATATTGGTCCCCAAATCACCCTCAAGGAACAGCTTGAGAAAGATAAAGTGAGAGCATCTTTTCCCTTTTGTTTTTGAATGTTTCTTCACACCCTTTGGTTTTGCAGCTGTCTTTTTGATGAAAGATTTTTCTTTTGTGTTCAAAGGATGACGAGAGTTTGAGAAAATGGAAGGAGCAACTTCTGGGCAGTGTTGATATGTCTTTCGTTGGAGGTGGTGCTTCGTTTTTCTCTTTAACACTTCAAGTTCTCTCTCTCTTTCAAATTCTTCTAGACCAATTCCATCTTTATTATTTCACCAATATAACCCTTACAGTGATTAATGTTTGGTTGGAATGCAGCAACTAAAGACCCTGATGTGAAGATTTTGAGCCTCACTATTACAAGCCCAGACAGGCCTGATCTCGTCCTGCCAATTCCATTTACAAATGATCCTAAGAAAAGCCTCTTCATCCTCAAGGAAGGAAGCAAGTGCGCCATGAAATTCACCTTCTCTGTCTCCAACAACATCGTTTCTGGTCTCAAATACACGAATGTTATTTGGAAAACTGGCGTTAGAGGTCTGAGACAGTGCTTCTGGTGTTTAACTTATTTTCTTGGGGTGGAATTGAATAATGTTGACAGTATTTTTCATTTCTTGTAACAGTGGCCAGCAGAAAAAAGATGTTGGGAACTTTTAGTCCCCAGAAGGAACCGTATACGTATGCATTGGAAGAAGAAAGCACCCCTTGCGGCATGTTCGTCAGGGGAACCTATGCAGCAAGAACCAAGGTAACACATTCGACCAAACTCAGAAGGTTGATTATATTTATTTTTCAATCTTTGAGTGGAATACTACTGTATAACAAATAGTATGAACTCACTGACTAAATTTTCTTGCTTCAGTTTGTAGATGACGATCAAAAATGCTACTTGGACGTCAATTACTACTTCGAAATTCAGAAGAATTGGATAAAACCTGAATGAGATTTGACCTTAAGCAACTTGGAAAATTATCTTTCCTTTGGCCTTTTGTGTGTCTCTTTGGAACATATTGGAATCCAACTTGTTTTAGTTGTTAATCAAATGCAGTTGGCACAATTGTAAACGTGCGTGCCGAATGCTTATGTTATCACTTCCATCCTTTTCCTTTTTCTAATGCCAAGATGTGACAAATAAAATCACTCTTAATTTTTACTGTTAAAGTTGCACTCATTGACTTAAGATTCCCCAATAGAGTTAATTTATTGGAATGTGAATGAAGGTTGAAGAGATAAACAAAAGAAAATTGAATTACTATCTCTTATAAATCTACATGATAAGACGATTTATAAATGATTGCAAATTTCTCTTTAGGCTTAAAAATTACATTTTTCAAGAGTATTCTCAACTACTGCTGCATGTGCTTTCTTATGCAAATGGCCTAAAGGTCCGTAAGTTCTATTGGGGGGCCAAAAGCTTTTCTCATCATATGAATGCCCACATACATGTCTCAAGCACTTACTTTACTAAAAAAGGAAAAATAAAGGAAAAAGCAGAACTACTGCTGAAACTAAAAATGGGCCCCTAACCCGCCGATGATGATGGACCAAAATTTGAATGCGTGAACACTTTCCTTTATACCATTTTGTGAGTGATTGGAGATTGAACTAATTTTATGATCTCATACCAATTATGATTTATGTAATCAATAATTGCTTATAGCATAGGCTTTGTTAACTTGTTACTGTTAGTTTGTTGTGTTGGCTGAGTTGTTCTTTCAATTGTCATCAAACATCCTACTTCTGTTTGTGTTGAATCAAATCGATGCCAACTCATTTTGAATCAGTGCGTAATGATGGTGGTTACGAGTTAAAGAAATTCAGAATGCTATATTGCTAGCTATGATTGCACACATGGGGTGGGTCACGGGAAACCATTTCCTTGCAGTTTTAACATGTTCTCACACTGCTCATTACTATGCTCACTAAATTCCTCAGTATCAAGCTTTTCCAGAAAAATTAATGTATCAAATCATCTAAGTGTTGGATAGGATGTATCTGTATTATAATTACAAGAACATTCTATTCTGATGTTGATTACAGTTAAATGCATAATTTGACCATTATGAACAGTAAGTTTAAGGCTAGTTATCTTATATTTTCTGACAAATCATGAACACTTTTAACTGTAACAAAAGAAAGCTGTAAAATTATATGCATACATTCAGAAGTAAGTAATTCAAAGGCATCTTCATTATATTTTTGTTTCTTTGAAAAAGCAAGAATGTAGATAGCTTTTAGCTTAATTTAAAATGCATACAATGTTATTATACCAACACTTTTAAGTAGCTTTTTCCAAAATATGCAGATGCTACTCTGTAGTGTGCAGTGTGCTATCATTACATGCATGCCCTGTAGTTGATGATTCCTTCAGCAGAAAAGAATTATGTGGAACTGGAATGTTGTTAATTCACTGATAATCTTTTTGTGATTGTTGTGATAATGTGTTGTCGGGTATGGAATAATTTGAGCAAAGGTGAAGGACATTATTTAACCTTACTTTCTTTCAAAGTAAAGTTGCTCAGTAATTACTGACATTAATCATTGCATGAATCACAAGCACAAGCCATGCAGGAATGGCACTTGAATAGTTTTCAACATTACTTAACTAACAAGTTAAAACACTGGTTTAGGGTTCAAGCATATATAAAAAAGTACACATTAACTAACGAAATTGTAAAATTTTTAAGGAAATTTCGGTTAGATCACATAAACATCAAATAAAACACAGACTTAAAATATTTCTAACTTTTCATATTAAGGAATAAAAAGTATTCAGTTACTGAAAACAATGAACATGTATACTAAACGTTATTCAAATTAATAATGATAACCAAATACTAAACAATTAAATTAATTGGTCAGTGAACTTACATCTAAACAAATTGAATTGAATTAAATAAGCTTTATTTTCTATTTTAAATAAATGAAACAGTTTGACTCAGCAATAGTCTATATATTGAGTAGAATCGATTGTTTTATGGTTAGTAAAAAAACTAACATAATTGTTTGAGTTTGACTACAAAGCAAACCAAAGATCATAGGAAGTTGGTTTGACATAAATTGCACGGCGCAACCCAACAACATAATGAAGTCAATTATGGGTTCGTTCTAGTTGACCTAAACAAATTAAAATGAAAGTTTTCTTCCGTATATTCGTGCACGTTCGATTTGGTTTTGTCCACGTAAAAACAGAACCACCATTTCATGTTGCAATAAACTGGACCATGAAATTCTATGATGGGCCATCATCATGATATACCTCTGGATTCATTTGCAACGAATTGGAGTAGTTGGGGTTCCCTTACTTTTGTTTTTTTCCTTCAAATTTTTCACAAGTTGGTAGAACGTCGATTAAATTGTAAATTAAGACCCCAAACCAAGCCAATGCATATAGCCACATTTTAATTTTGTATTGGCCAAAGTTAAACACCTCTCATTTTTGTATACTGCACTGTACAAAGTGATTAGAAAGCATATGCCTATGTACATGTGAGCTGTATAAGTTCACAAAAAAATTAAGCAACAAATGAATCTACCGATGTTTCTCTACTCTCTACGCATATCCATAAAAGAGAACTAACTTGGAATGAATAACTAGTAGTCTAACAGTGCAAACTTGACCTGCAATCCAATCTTACCACCCTCAGTCACAAGCTTAGCAGCTGTTACCAACCAATGTCCAGGAGCATCATGTGGACCCCTCAGAACCTCGGTTGTATCCACGTATTTAAGCAGTTTTCCAGAACGAACAGGCACAGGTGGACCATCTGGATAAACACCAGAGTCAAGTGAAGTGGGAGCCTGCTTCTGAGGAGAAGTAGTCACAATTTGCTGTGTGAATGAAAATTTCGTGCTTAAATTTGTGAGGAAAGATGATTTTCTTGAAGCCTCAGGTGCACCACCCCAATCTGACTTCCTGATACTGCAATTGGCTATGTGGGTATATTGGAGGCGCAAGTGAAGCACATTTTTTGGCCAATTCCCTTTGCTAATGAGCTGTGCACCGGTCACAATGTAAACACCCCCACCCCCACCTGATTCTTGCAACCAGTTAGGGTCATGTTTAACCACTGCTGTGCAAACGTTTGCAAATCCCTTCCACCTTATTGGTTCCAGAAAGGTGTCACAGTATTCATTATCATCAGATCCTCGCCACAAAGATGGGCCTGAAGAGTGGATCATTGTCTTTGGGAGGCTTGAAAGATGGTGTACATGTATTGCAAGTCTATTACATTTTCTTCCTTCTAAGTACAAACGGAGGCCTACCACAGGCTTTTCTTCACTCACTACCTGATATTGTTTCGCATAGAATAAAATGTCATGATTAACAAACAATCAATGAACACATAATTGATGTCAATTATAAGCACAACTTTGCTCAAATAGGAGGAAGGGTTAGGCTAAGAGAAGCACCTGTGTAGAACTGACATGAAGCTTGGGAGACATGAAACCAAATTGCAGGGAAGGGGAAGTACTCTTTTTCCTTTGATGCCTCAGAGGTAGCTCATAA